TTCTCATGATCTTATTGAATTACTCTCATTTCTCTTCCCAATTTTTCTTCTACCTCTCTTACTTGACTTTTAAAATTCTTTTTGAGCTCTTCCATGGCCTGAGATCAAGTCACATTTTTCTTGGAGTCTTTGAGTGTAGAATCTTTGACTTTGTTGTCTTCTTCTGAGTGTGTGTTTTGATCTTCCTTGTCACCATAGTATCTTTCTATAGTCAGAGTTTCTTTTATTTCTATCATTTGCTCATTTTCCTAGCCTATTATTTGACTTTTAACTCAGTTAAAGTAGTACTCAAGATTTGGGGGTTTTGTGAAGCTGCTTTTAAAATTACTTCTAGGGACCTATAAGTTTTCAGTTCTTCCAAGGTGGTGTGAGCTAAGGAGAGATGTTCACTTCTCTCCTGGACTGTGCTCTGGTCTGTGAGTGACCACAAGCACTGTTTTTTGCTCTGGAGCTATGACTAGGGTCCCTCATCCAGTGCTGCTGCAATCTCTGCAATGCCAGTGCTCCTTATCACCATGGAACTGCCATCCAGGTCTGCAATCCAGATCTGAGTATGGGCAAAGCAACAGAGTCCTAACTCAGTGTTAGCAAAAATATCCCTGCAATTTCATTCTGGCCAGTTATTTGACTGCCTTACTGTCTGCAAGCTAAAAGCACTGGAAATAGCCTCTGCCCCTGCTGTTGCTGATTCAATCACTCCCAAGGCCTGCTACAGGTTTGCTGGGGTCCAGTCTTCACTGGCATGGTCAGCATTAGACTGTGCTGCTCTCTCCCCCTGGTGCAATGGACCTTTCCTGACAACTTTCTAAGTTGCCTTGAGCTAGAAATTTTTTCACTTTGTCTTTTTGTGAGTTCGGCTGCTCTAGAATTTGTTTAGAGTCATTTTGTGAAGGTATTTGGATGGTTTGGGGGGAGAACTCAGAGAAGTCCATGCCTTTACTCCACCATCTTGACTTTGCCCCAGTAACCACATTTTAAAAGAGAAAATGACATGAAGTAATATATTAAAAGATGAATAAGTTGGCGAAATAGGGGAATTATCTTACCCTTTAGACAGAGGCATATGTGTGTTCCAATATCCATGTATCAATGAAAGAAGCCCACATTGTTGGGGTGGGTGGGTTGTGATGGATCCAACCATTCTGGAGAACAATTTAGAATTGAATAGGCTATAAAACTGTTCACACCCTTTGATCTAGCAATACCACTGCTAGGTCTGTATCCCAAAGAGGTCATTAAAAAAAAAAAAGGAAAAAGGAACTACATGTAGAAAAATATAAGAGCACTTTTTTGTAATGACAAAGAATTGGAAATTGTGTGGATGCCCATCAGTTAGGGAATATCTGAACAAGTTGTGGTATATAAATATAATGGAATACTATTGTTCTATAAGAAATGGTGAGCAAGTGGATTTAAAAAAAAAACCTCAAAAGATTTACATGAACTGATGCTGAGTGAAGTGAATGGACACAAGAGAACACTGCACATTAACAGCAACATTGCACTATAACCAACTTTGATAGACTTAACTCTTCTCAACAATAAAATAGTCCTAGACAATTCCAAAAGACTTGTCATGGAAAATGCTAACCACATCCAGAGAAAGAACTATGGAAACTTAACATAGATTGAAGCACATTATTTCCAATTTTTTTTTGGTTTTTGTTTTTTCTTTCTCATGTTTTTTTCCCTTTTGTTCTGATTCTTCTTTTACAAGGTGTCTGATGTGGAAGTATATTTAACAAGATTGTATGTATATAACCTATATCAGATTATTTTCTGTCTTGGGGAGGAAGGAAGGAAAGAAATGAGGGAGAAAAAATTTGGAACTCAAAATCGTATAAAAAAAATGAATGTTGAAAATGATCTTTACATGCAATTGGAGGGAAAAAAGTAAAATACTATTAAGTGCAAAAAAAATACATAAAAGGGTGTCAAACTGAAAGTAAAGAGATTTATTAGCATGCTAAGGAATGCTATTCTAGCTGATACCAAATTCAGATTTCTAGGGTACAGATTCATTTTTTGTAAACTTTTAAGCCCAGAGGACACAACTAAATAGCTACATTCTTTATCGACTTAGGATAGAAAGCTAAAGCATTTCTCAGAAGAGGAACAGAGAAAAAGATGGATCAGGAAAAGGGAGAAAATAGAATATTTGGAATACAAGTGACAGGATTTATTATCTTTTCAAGGACAGGAGACAAGAGAAAGAGATGAGTGCTTTTACAACTATGAAAACAATCCTTTTAAGAAAACAACTTTAGGGTCTTGTGCAAAGAAAGCAAGTATTAGCTACAACAGCAGACAAGACTATATCCCCCACATCCTTGCATGATTTAGATATAAAGGTTGATACTATAAGCAAACTGGGAGAGCAAGAAATATTTTACCTGTCAGATTTATGGAGAACAGAAGAATTTATGAACAAACAAGAGATAGAAAACATTATGAAATGCAAAATGGATAATTTTGATTTCATTAAATTGAAGTTTTTGCACAAACAAAGCCAATGAAACCAAGATTAGGAGGGAAGCAGAAAACTGGGAAAGAATTTTTACAACCAGTATCTATGATAAGGACCTCATTTCTAAAATATATAGGTAACTAAGTCAAATTTATAAGAATCTAAATCATTCCTCAGTTGATAAATAGTGAAAGGATATGAACAGGCAGTTTTCAGATAAAGAAATTAAAGCTATCTACAGTCATGAAAAATGCTCTAAATCACTATTGATTAGAGAAATGCAAATCAAAATGACTCTAAGGTACTATATCACACCTATCAGATTAATCAAGATGACAGAACAAGAAACTGATAAATGTTGGAGAAGATATGGGAAAATGGAACACTAATGCATGGTTGGTGGAGTTGTGAACTGATCCAACCATTTTGGAGAGAAATTTGGAACTATGCCCAAAGGGCTACAAAAATGTGCATACATACCCTTTGACCCAGCAATAGCACTTCTAGGGCTATGTCCCAAAGAGATCATACAAATGGGAAAAGGACCCACATGTGCAAAAATATTTATAGCAGTTCTTTTTGTGGTGGCAAAGAATGGGAAATTGAGAGGATGCTAATCAATTGGGGAATGGCTGAACAACTTGTGGTATATGAATGTAATGGAATACTACTGTGCTATAAGAAATGATGAGCAGGCTGACTTCAGAGAAACCTGGAAAGACCTGTACGGTCTGATGCTGAGGGAAGTGAGCAGAACCAGGAGAATGTTGTACACAATAACAGCCATGTTGTGCAATGATTAATATTGATAGACTTAACCCTTTCCAGCAATACAAGGATCTAAGACATCTCCAAAGGCCTTGTGATAGAAAATGCTATCCATATCCAAAGAAAGAACTATGGAGTTTGAATGCTGATTGAAGAATACTATTTGCTAATTTTTTTTTTCTTCTGAGGTGTTTTGTTTTCTTTTTCTGGTGGTTCCTCCTATTGGTTCTAATTCTTACTTACAACATTACTAATGTGAAAAAAATATGTGTAACAGGAATGTATATGTATAGCCTGTATCAGGTTATGTACCATCTTGGGGAGGGTGGTGGGGAGGGAGGGGGAGAAAAATCTTAAACTCAAAAGCATATGGAAGTGATTGTTGCTAAATCAAAATGAATTAATTAAAAAAAAAAGAAACGTTCAGCAGTCAAACTTCAGAAAAACCTGGAAAGACTTGTATGGACTGATGCTGAGTGAAGTGAGCAGAACCAGGAGAATGCTGTACACAGTAACAACCATGTTGTTTGATAACTAACTTTGATAGACTTAGCTCTTCTCAGCAATGCAAGGATCTAAGACATCTACAAATGTCTCATGATGGAAAATACTATCCACATCCAGAGAAAGAACTATGGAGTCTGAATGCAGATCTAAGCATAGTATTTGCTCTTTTTCTTCTTCTATTTTTTTAATTTCTTCTTTCTTGTGGTTCTTCCTATTGCTTCTAATTCTTCTTTACAGCATGACTAATGTGGAAAACGTGTTTAATAGGAATGAGTATGTAGAGCCTATCTCAGATTGCACAATGTCTTGGGAGGGAGGGGGAGAAATCTTAAAACTCAAAAGCTTATGGAAGTGAATGTTAAAACTAAAAATAAATTAATTAATTTAAAAAAAGAGAAAACAAACAAACAAGAGAAAAAAGACTATATCTTCTTTAAGTTTACTTGCATAGAGGTTGAAGACTTTCTAATATAAAGCCACCAAATGGTCTGGAGATTTCTTCATTGTTAGTCTACCAAGATGCCATGAAATGATTATGGTTTCTATTTTTCCCTACACTGGAAATTACATTTTATGAAGATCAGTAGAAAGATAAGGTATTAAGAGAAACTTTTGGAGAATATCATGGTTCCATATTTTGGTGGACTTGGTAAACCTATGATTTCATCAATATAGATATGTTCCCATTCTACCCATCCAGATTACAACCCATCTATAATGTCTTATTCAATAATGAATTTTCAAATATTAGAAGTATGTGAAAGAGGAATTTGACTTAATCTGTATATCTCTAGTAGGAAAACTAAAACAATGGAGAAACACTGCAGGAAGTCTGATTTTAGTACACTTTAAGAAATAAGTTTCTAATTAAAGCTGTTTCAGAATGGAATGGGTTGCCTTATTAGGTAGTGCAGTCCCTAATCACTAGTCATGAATAAACAGGATCTGAATGATCACCTCTAAGGACTGTTGCATAGGGAATTCTGGCATTCAGTGAATAATTGTACTAGATGGCATCTAAAACTCCTTCCAACATTAATGTTTTGTTATTTTATTTATAGATTATTTATGCATAGATTCTGGCCTCATGACCCTTGTACTGTGTTAATTTAAAAAGAGGAGCCTTATATATTGCGTGAAAGAGCTGAAGACTGAGAAGGATCAATAAGAAGCCTTCCTTACTGTACCTTATTCAAACCCTGTGCATTGTATTGACAAATTTCCATAGTTAATAGAAGTTTTCTGGTTATCCCTACAGGTCAATTTCGGGTGGTTGGCCCAGATGAGCCTGTTCAGGAATTGGTGGGAGAAGATGTCATTTTTTCCTGTCGTGTCTTATCCAAGATTAGTTTGAAGGACATGGAAGTGAGGTTTTTCAGGAACCAATTCTCTTCTGTGTTGCTTCTAGTCAAGGATGGGAAAGAAATGTGGGAGAAGCAAATGCAGGAGTATCAAGGGAGAACCCAGTTTGTGCAGGTAGCCATTGCTGAAGGGAAAGTCTCCTTCAAATTGAAGAATGCAACAATTTCAGATTCAGGAATATATGGATGCCAGTTCACCTACCAACCTTTTGACCAGATGCATACTTGGGAGCTACAGGTGGCAGGTCAGTTGTTGATTTCCAATGACACGATTTCTTCAAGTTCAGTTAACTAGAATACTCTACTGAAAGAGTGGGATTGTCAGATTGTTCTTACTCTTTGATCAATAGACAGAAAAGAAGCAAACAAGCAAGCTGTCTTTCCAATATCCCTGCAAAACAAAAAGACACAGAAACCTCTCTTACTATACAAGAACCTCCCAATGGGGATATCTCATGTTCCATACACATCTGGGGCCTCAGATAGGAGTCCAGAGTGAGAGCAGCTGGTAAGTAGTAGAGTGGAGTAGAAGGAAATGGAAGGGAAGTCCCCTTGGCTTGCTCATTTGGCAGAATTTTATATTCTTAGTCTTAGATTTGTGGATTTTGGTCACACATTTAGTTCTTCACTTTGGAAAGATACCAGATGAGGGGGGAATTGCTCAAACTGCATATACTCATGAATAGTTTTGATAGGATAAGGCCTACTTGTTCAACAAATGCAAGAGCTCTCACATCAACAAGTTTCATTTTTTTAACTTGTATTAATTCATCTTATGACCAATGAATACTATTAATTGAAAAAGATAAATATAGATGTGTTTGTGTTGGTAGAAATGAAGAGGACTTTAGAAGGAAATGACTTTTCTACTTCAGAATTTATAATAAAGAAAAAGAAAGCAGGTAGCTATAGATCAGGCCTCAAGGCCACATGTGGCCCTCTAGGTCCTCAAGTGTGACCCTTTGACTGAATCCAAACTTAGCAGAACAAATAAACTCAATAAAAGGGTTTATTCTGTAAAACTTGGACTCAGTCAAAAGGCTGCAACCAAGGATCCAGAAAGCTACATGTGGTTTCAGGGCCACAGGTTCCCCACCCCTGCTCTAGTTTGTTACCTTCCTGTTTTTGATGAGCTCAATGTACTTATCCCAGAAGAATTCTGTACCAGGACATGGATGAACCTGAAAGATATGATTGTCCAGCCATTGGCAGTGATCTTTGAAAGATGGTAGCAAACTGGCAAGATTCTTTAAGACTGGAGAAGGAGAAACTTTGTTTTGAGTTTCAATAAAGGGAAAAAAAGGTAGCCTGAGATCTACTGGTTAGTGAACTTGACTGGTAAATTCCAGGTAAAATTTTGCATTGCATTTTTAAAGCAATGGCTAGTGAACATCTAGAAAAGGCATCGGGATTACAAAGAGCTGGTATGGTCTCATCAAAAACATGTCAAGCCAGACTCTCCTTTACTTTTTCGATGGGGTTAGTAGATTGATTTCTAGGTTGTAGATACAGTGCTGGGCCTGGAGTCAGGAAGACCTGAATTCAAATCCAGCCTCAGACATTGACTAGCTGTGTGATCCTGATCAAGTTACTTAACTTTGTTTACTTCAGTTCCCTCATCTATAAAATGAGCTGGAAAAGGAAATGGCAAACCACTCCAGTATCTTTGCCAAGAAAATCCTAAATAAGTTCACAAAGAGTCAGGTATGACTGTAACGACCGAACAATAGCAACAAAAGGTACATTGGTAGATCTGGGGATTCCTGTTCTTCTAGGGGTCCTGAATCTGGAATTGAGGAACTTGTGTTTTTAAAAAATGTTATGTCAAGGGGCAGCTAGGTGGTGCAGTAGGTAGAGCACCAGCCACGGATTCAGGAGGACCTGAGTTCAAATCTGGTCTCAGACACATAACATTTACTAATTGTGTGACCCTGGGCAAGTCACTTTACCCCATTGCCTAGCCAAAAGAAATGTAATATCAATAACTATATTTCAAAATAATTAGTTTCTTTATAATAACATGTATTTTATTTTATGCATTTGTAAATATTCTGTGAAGAGGACCACAGGTTATACCAGCCTACCAAAAAAGCCCATGATAAAGAAGAAAGGATTTAAAACTCCTACTGTCGATATAGTTTACCTGAATTTTGACACACACAAATCATACAGTTTCACATGTTATGGTGATGGAAAAATGGAGAGATATGTATAGCACAGTAAAACTGGGTGAACTTGGAACTTGAAACAACTGTCTCTATTTCTTCCTCATAAAATGAGTGTACAGGATTGTAAGATGTATTGTATGGGGTAGTGGTAAGGAAAGTACTTTGAAAAACTTCATTGTTCATAGATTTAGATCTGAAAGACACCTTAGAAATTCAGTCATCTCATTTTACAGGCAAGGAATCTGAGTTTCAAAAGGATACAAAACAGTTGTAAATAGCAAAGTTGATTCTATTCAAGGCTGTTTTCATGACATGATAGTGCCTCTCAGTGCTTTAACAATGTTCATATTGGGATTTTCATTATTATTATCAAAATACTTGTTATTCATTTTTAGAATGAATTATTGAAGTTGCCTAATTTGGTTCTAAGTGATCCTGTGGATCTATGGGGTTGTCTTTCAGGTAAGTTTTTCAAGCCTTCTCCTTGGAGAGATGCTTTCATTATTATGATGATTATCTTTTGGATTCTTGTTACATCTGGCCTTTTTCTCCACAGACATCAAGGTAATGGGAATGGAGAGTGGAGGGCATTTCATTACCTTCTATGACTTTTCACCATTGCCTCTATCTTCTGTCATCTCCTCCTTCAAACTTCTCTTCTCAATCACCTCTCAACTACTTTGAAAAATTCTGTTCATCCATCTTTGAACATTTATTAAACATCTTCCATGTTTAGAAAGTAGTGAAGAGCCTCTTTGTTCTCATTTTCCCCCATTGTACCCCATTGAGGGACCTCAACAATTCTGTCCCAGCCACTAGATATTATGTTCTTTCACATGGCACCTGACTACACACAGAGAAGAGCTTCTGGGATATGCCCTGGACCCCAGATTGTCTGACTTTAGCTCTTGTTAATTCAATTTCTCTCTTCTTTAAATCTTCATCCATTCTGGGTGCCTTTCTGACACATTTCTGTGTTTCTTTTTACTTTTAGGGAAACTTATGAAAGAGCTGGGTGAGTTTTGTTTGTTCATTTGTTCTGCTTACTGTGTACCAAGTTTCCTTTCAGAAATTATCTTTTTCTCAATGTCACTACATTTCTTATTTATTGATTTTTAGATTAGAGGATAAATGGCAGGAAAAGGTGAGAGAAATTTCTTTTCGTGGCATATTCTCCATTCCCTTCTCCATTCACTTATCATGTATTCCTGTTCGATTTTGTTTGCATTTCCCATCTCTCTATTTCAGTCTTATGCTTTTCTTTCTTCCAGCCCAAGCAGTAACTCAGACCTGTCTATATCTTTTCAGAATGGGAAAATGCAGCTAAACACGCAGGTAACTACGACTGAGGGCTTCTTCCTTGTCTGGGTTTCTTCACTCCCTCTGCTCCTTCATTTGTACTAATCCCTGGTTCAGAGCAAACTGATCAAGTTGGCAATCAGGGAATCAGTCACTGCCTTCATGACCCTTGAACTGATTCCTCCATCTTGGGCACAAATTTTGGAGAAGGGCCAGGTGGTTAACTGTGCACAAACTAGGGTCACTTTGGTGTTCAATCAAAGGCTTCTGGTAGATGCAGAGGGGATAAGAGAAGAAAACTGGACTATGAAGAGGGGATAAATTGGAATTAGGATTACCATTACCTGAGACAACATGGTTTGTTGTTGGAGTCATGTCATGTTCTTGGTTTCTCTTTTCCTCCTCTTCCTCCAATGGAGGTCACTCCAGATATTTTCTTACATGTTTTGTCTTGTGCCTATCATCAGGCCAACATTTAGTGAAGGTAAAATGCTCCTACGATGTTTATGGAGAATACTGAGAGATCAAATTGTTCTTATGTTCAGTTGTAACAGATAGGAAAAACAAGGCATCGTGGAGGGAATGTTTATTATAATCCATACTGACCGTATCTTATTCTATGATTTGGAAGCTTTTCTCTTTCTTGCCTCTCTCTCTCTCTGTCTCTGTCTCTGTCTCTCTCTCTCTCTTTCCCTCTCCTCTCTCTTTCTCCCTTCCTTTTCTTCTTCTTCCATCTCTACCTCATTGTCTCTCTTCTTTTCTTTATCTTTCTTCTCCAATGGTCCTTCTTCCCCATACACCCTCCACACCATTGTTTTTCTCTTTCCAGGGGAGGTGACTCTGGATCCAGAAACTGTTTACTCCATACTCTGCATATCTGGAGACCGTAAAAAAGTGACTTGTGAAGACACTAAGGCTCCTGATTTACCTGAAACTGAGAAGAGATTTCAATCTGTAGGCATAGTGGTTTCACAAGGCTTCTCCTTGGAAAAATTTTATTGGGAAGTAGAAGTTGGAGAGAAAAATCAGTGGTATCTGGGGATGTGTTGGGTTAAAGTAGACAGGAAAAACAAAGATCCTGAACTCCCTCTTGCCAATGGCTACTGGGTGTTGGGGCGGTGGAAACAAACAGAGCATTTTATATTCTCCCCTGGTTGATAGGCTCTAACTCTTCAGGTGCATCCAAAAATACGTTGGGATTTTCCTGAGCTATAATTATGAGCAAGTTTCCTTCTACAATATGACTGACAAGTCACATATCTATACATTCATTGGCTGTGATTTCATGGGAAAATACTCCGACCGTATTTCAGGCCTTGTTCTAATGATTCTTTAACCAAAGGAAAGCTTGCAGTTATCACTCTAAAACATCATAGATTGCCAGCTGCTGATATTGGCTGAGTCCAGCAGCAGTCTGCCATTACTCAGACCCAAACCCAAGTCAGGAACTTTCAGAACTCTGGCAAAGTGAACAACAATCAGCCTTTGTCCTGGATCAAACCACTTTAGGATCACTGACAGCTTGCAAACCCCCAGCCTGACTTATCTTTAAAAGACCTTCCCTCCAGAAATGTGCAGAGCCCAGACCTAATATTAGAAAAAAAGAGAAAATATTATGCTTTGATCTATATTCAGACTCTTCCTTTCTCCGGATATGGATAGCATTTTCCATCGTAAGTCTTTTGGAATTGTCTTAGATCATTGCATTGCTGAGAAGAGCTAAGTCTGTAGTCTATAGTTGTTCATCACACAATGTTGCTGTTACTGCCTACAATGTTTTGTTCTGCTCACTTCACTCTGCATCAAATCATGTAAGTCCAGGTTTTTCTGAAACCTTCCTGCTCATCATTTTTTTTTTTGGAATAATAGCATTCTATTATATTCATATACCACAACATGTTCAGCCATTCTCCAATTGATGGACATCTCTGAAATTTCCAATACTTTGCCACCACAAAAAGGACTACTGTAAGATATTTTTGGACATGTAGGTCATTTCTCCATTTTTATGATCTCTTTGGGATACAGACTTAGCAGTGGTATTGCTGGGTCAAGAGGTATGCACAGTTTTATATCGATCAAGGGAACTCTTCCCACACCATGTTCCAAAATGGGAACAAATTGGCTTACAAGATCTTAAAAAGAGATACCTTAAAAGTGAAACCTCGAGCTCCCCAGTACTAAAGAAAAAGGACTGGGTATCAACTGTATTTTTTTTCAGGGTCCCGACTCACCTGTCTGTCAGGTTCAATGCCCCACTCTAAGTTTTTAAGGAGTGGACATAGAAGTGAAGTTTATTTGAGTAAAAGTTAAAAAAAAATCTTAAGACTCTTCTCCCTGTGGTACTGACTCTAGCCAGGCAGAGGCTACCGTGAAAAGTTAGAACAGCTTAAAACATCTTAGCAGATCCTGGAGGTTTTGAGATTAATCATTAAGGAGTTTGGAAACTGACCATTTTAAGATTGCAGAAGAAAACTCCTGAGACTTTGGGGGTAATTCTGAAAGTTAACACCTCCTGACAATCCAGGTCTCTTCCATTCCCCTGAGTCAAGAGGGTGTCTCAGTACAAGGATTGTGGACAGCCCATTTTTTTTTCCTGTTGATGCCTCTCATCCCAGATTGGATCAGGGGAGGGTGGTGCTGGGGGCTTGGTTTGCCCTCCCCGACCTGGTGATGGAGCAGAGGTCCCGGTGGCCACTGGCAGTGACCCTGTGTCCCTGGGAACCCCACACACTAATTCTCTAGATGGGGTCTGGGAGTGTTGCTGGTGTCCTGCCCACCCTCTTCAATGGCCCTACCCTCAGCAGCATCTGCAGCTGTGAGGAAGGGGAAGGAGAGATGGATCCAGCCTCCACCACCTGGCTCCCTGGGCCCTGCCTCCAGTAGTTCACTACTGGGAGGGCCCTGGCATTGGTCACTCTGGTCCTTAGGCAATGCCCAGCTAACAGCATGAGGTGAAAAGCCAGCCAGTCTCTGCAATTGGTAAGCCCACCACCTTTCTGCCTTTATATCAATAATTTTTCTGTGTGATAATTTGAAAATGCAATTGATGGCATCTGAAATTTATTGTTTGTGTTATTACTGTATTTCTAAATTGTATTGTGCATAACTAATGTGAAAATATGTTTAATATGAATGCATATGTAGAGCCTATATAAGACTGCACACTGTCTTGGAATGGGGATAGGGGAGGGAGGAGGAGAAAATTCGGAACTCAAAATATTATGGAAGGGAATGTTGAAAACTAAAAATAAATAAATCAGTATTAAAAACAAATGTATTGTAAAGTTCTCATATATTGTAAAATTTGAGAGATCATTTTGAGCCAGAAATGGTGTTAGACAAAGCAATTTTTAAGCTGAATTTTGTTGCATATGAATTGGGCTTTTAAAAGGATGTGACAAAAATCAGATAATTTGAAAACTATTAAACATTTAATGATATATTTAGTTACAAACTGTGACAGCAAATTTTCTATTGAAAATCTTGGCTATTATGACAATATATAAGGTAGTTTAAAGTTGTACTTCGAACATGTTATTGTTGAGAGAAGTAGTTTTCTGTACAAAAATAATTTGGAAATGCTGGCTAATATATTCAATAAGACTTAAGTTACCTAAATGGTAATGGGTTTGCTTCAAGTCTCAAATACATGATATTGTTTCAACTTTGTAAGTTTTTGTATTATTTCCAGAAAGTATGTGGCTATAATATTTATATTAGTCCAGAGGAAAATATCATGGGTTGGACAGGCAGACCACCCCTTGGTCCCTGTCAATCCCCCTTATTTTGTAAACTTGCCAGATCCCTGGAAATCATCTGTGTGGGCCAAGTCATCAGAGCTTGTTTGGATTATGAAGTTACTAAATTTGGTTTGCTGAGAATTTGCAAGCTTACGTATAATACAGAAATGCTTTCCAATGATTAGTCTTTACAGTTTTGGAAGGAAAGAAAAACAAGTGGAATCTATTAAGTGAAATCTCTTACGTATGTGAATCCTGGTAAATTTCTATTGCTTATTGCAACTTCATGAGAGATGTGAGATCTTGTTTTTATCTGAATTTGTAGTCATTTCATGGCCTAAGCAAGAGTTACAGTAGTGTTTGAACTTACCATATGTATAAGATTATATTTCCGAAGTACCTCATTCTTTCAGAACGATGGATAAAAATAGAGAAGGGTAAACAAGCTGAAGAAACAATGATTGTAAATCTATTAAGTTGTGAGGTTCAAGTTAGGAACCCCTTTTGTTTTTGTTTTAAGGAATAGAATTTCAGGACAGTTATGTTAGTGTAGAGTAGTAACTTCTGAGCTATCTTGTTATCTTAGTGGAAAATCTGATTTTACTTATGTTTGTTATTTAATCTGGAATTAGAACATGAGTAAGAATGCATGCAAACTACTTAAGACTCACTTTAAAGATGTTCCCATTGTTTAACGGGATTCTGAGAGCTGTGGTCTATGTTTTGTGTTCATTTGAACATGGCTAATAACTGAACAAATTCTACTATAGACAATGTTTCATGAAATCTGTTCTCTCTATATAATTTGGGATCATTATATTTACACATCCCAAGCGTTTTACTGTTTGTTATTAAGCATCTTAAAGCAAAATTATTTGTGTAATGGGGCAGCTGGGTGGCACAGTGGATAGAGCACCAGCCTTGGAGTTAGGAGGACCTGAGTTCAAATCCAGCCTCAGACACATAACACTCACTAGCTGTATGACCTTGGGCAAGTCACTTAACCCCATTGCCTAGCAAAAACAAAAACAAAAAAAATTATTTGTGTAATGTTGAACTTAGAGAAAAAATATCTACTGAGCTCAAGTACCAGTTATGTCAAGTTGTGATGAATCTTACTGTTACCAATGTGAGATTATAGTCAACACTTATTATCTAGGATATGTGATCTTGAGAGCTGAACCCACCTAAAGTTCTGATTATTGGAACTCGCTATTCAAGACCTTATGGGACTGTTAACTGATATTATTGAGTATGACTGCAGGTATGATCACCAAGAAATGCTATTGAGCCTATGATCCATGGTGCCACCAATCCTATGGATCTTACATCTATGAACTGCAGTAGGTATTCTCATGGGAAAGACTAAGAGAGCTATTATTTTCATGAACTGAGGTAGGATTCTCCTGACTCAATTTCCTTCGTATGAATATCTAACCCAGCTGATTTTAAGCCTGGCCCAATGCAATTAGTCATATATAACTTTTTCCTGAACTGACATGAAGTTAGAGAAGCATTATGCCCTTACTATACAGTTATATCTATTCTTCTTTTATAGAAAATTTCTATAATCAAGAAGTTTTGTAGGCACAATACTAAATCTATTAAATAATAGATTGATACAAGAACACCTCTGAGTTACTATAATAAGATGCAAGTATAATACTTAAGCTGTTTGGCCTAGTTCTTATCCTGTTCAGCCCCCATCCAAGCTTGCAAGTAATTTAACTTAAAGTAGGGAAGCCCATTGTGTCCTATTCAAACTTGAGTGGAGACAGATTCTTTTGTCTAGATAACCCAAGGCTGGGAGTGGTCTGGTATTTTTAATAGACTGTGCAGGTTTATACAACAGATTAATAAAGAGAATCCTCTGGGTTGAAATTAACCCTATAGCTTGGGAAAATAGAGTTCTAATAAGACATTGGTTTAACAATAGTAGGTGCAGTCCAGAATATGGTTAAAATGTAAAGGAAAGTTGTAATCTGAGTAATGGGTTTGAAAGATTTAGAAAGAAAAAGGCTTGATTGAAAATGTGGAGGCAGATAAGGTTTGGAGACAAATGAGGGACATCCAAGCCCATCTTGTCCCTGGATAGTTGCTCTGGGTACCCTTGTGCCAGTTTCAGATGTTTTAAGCATGTTGAGAGGGTGTGAAGAAGTTTGACTTTATTTTAAGAAGTTTGAGAATGAAAATTATGTAGCCTGATTTGAAAGTCAGTGGACAAAGTTATAGAAAGCTAGGAGGAATCAAAATGGAGGACACCATGTATATCAAGACCTTCTTGTTCAGTTATAAAGGGGGAGTTGCACTCTTGTTAACACATGATGCTATGTTTATATCAATAATTTGAAGCAGGACAAGACACATTGCTAATATGGTGAAAAAGACCCAGTGGATGAAGAAAGTCCACAGCCGGAATTCCTCTCTGGATCACCAAGCTGCAGTTCCTTGTTTTTAACTTTTTAACTCTCCTGTTGCCACTCCTGACCCCAACCCTTCTCATTGTCTTTTTTTCTTTTTATGTTCAGACCTTGTCTTTTGAACATTCTAATCAAGTTTGTGTCTTTCAGGCTAACCTCAATCAAATTTCAGATGGTCCTGTTGGAAGGATATCAGCCAATACCCACCCCTCATATCCTGGTTGTATTCTATACTTGGTTCCAGTTAACCTCCCTCTGGGACCCACTGAGGCAGGAACAGCTCTATACCCCTTGTCAGCCTCAAGTAGTTCTAGAAGATAAGACCTCCACCCAAATGAATTTGAGCCCCCCCTGTATAAGGGGCAATTGATGAAGAATGCATAACCTTCACTCCTTTTCCCAAATGAATTTGGATGCCTACTTGTCGAGGGGGAGATGAAGAAATTAAAATAGGCTAGTCAATGAGAAGCCCATTATCTCAAGTATCACTTAAAGCCACTTTGGAAGATAATCAGATTCAAATAAACTGATCAATGAAATACCAATACTAACTGGGGACCCCTCTGCCCCAGGCAAATGGGCTGAACAATGGAATAATGATGTGCACTCAGATATCTTCAAAACTCTGAACTACTCCAGCACCCTTACCTTGATATTTCTGATTTCCTCATCTCACTCCCCAGGGCAGGTTTTCCTCTATTTGAATCCCTAGCTTATCCTAGCTAAGGGGGAGGGAAGTCTCGCCCCTAAGGAACTGTCTCCCAAAGAGGGCTGCCTCCCTTGGGGGGCTGTATCTTTTGAGGAGAAGCTGTCTTCATTAAAGAGCTGCACTCTCGTTAAGCTGGGATCTCCTTTAAGCTGCTCTCCCTTAAGGAGGAGCCTGGTAGGTGTATTACTTGGAATAAATGCCTTTACTTGATTTGGAAACAGACTGAGAAAATTCTTTCTAAATGACCCTGCCACTCATACACCATACACCTCAACATTTTGGGGTGCCCCTGAACCTAAACAGTATTGCTAGTTCAAAGGATATGCACATTATTATAGCCTTTGAGCATAGTTGAAATGGAGAACTTTCCAACACTACTGATGAAAAGTCAGTAATTATCTAAGGCTGGATTTGATCCATTATACTTATATGTACACATGTATAGTTATAGAGACATATGGAGATTACACAAACATGCACATACACAAATATAGATATGGATTGAAAAGGAATTCTCCAATATTTAAGAGGTAAAAGGATATGACCAAATTATTCTCTAAAGAGGAGTAAATTTCTAACTACTATGTGAAAGAATGCTCCAAATCACCAACAATAAAAGAAATGAATATCAAAACAATGAGATTTCTTCTTACATCTAGCAAACTGACAAAGATGACAAAATTTGGGAACAGTCAATGTTGAAGGGGTTTTGAGAAGATAGGAAAATAAAGCAATTTTGGTGGAATTGTGAATTAGTACCAACACTTTGGAAGACAAGTGGGAATCGTGCAAATAAAGTGTTAAAATTTATATATATTCTGACAGAGAAAAAAAAGAAAAAAAGAAACCTTATTTACATCTGAGCACTCTAGGTTATGAAATCAAAGACCTTTATAAGGGCCAAATGTGTGTGTGAAGTAGCCATGAGTCATTTTAGCAAAGCATTTGAT